TGGAGAGGTCCCTAACAGCAGACTTTCCCAATGCAACACATTTTTTTTTAATTTCCTTGTTGCTGGTTCCAAGAATGTTGATTATGAAGCCAAGCAAACTAAAGTTGTTTACAATCTCAACCTCTTCCCCATCCATCACGATGCTGTCAGTTGGTCCAACGGTGAGACTCTTTGTTTTCTTGATATTGAGCTTCAAGCCATACTGAAGGCTGCAGTCCTTGACTTTCTGCAGCAAGTGCTTCAGGACCTCCTCAGTGTCAGCAAGCATTGTTGTGTCATCTGCATAACACAGATCATTGCTGAGTCTACCTCCAATCCTGATGCCACATTTCTCCTCATAGAGCCAGCCTCCTAGATGATCTGTTCTGCATGTAGATTGAAAAGATATGGAGACAGGATACATCCTTGGCATATATAGGATACATCCTTGGCATATACCCCTTCCAATTTTGAACAATACAGTGTTTCCTTGCTCTGTTCTGATGACTTCCTCCTGGTCCAAGTATATGTTTCACATAAACACAATCAAGTATTCTGGGATTCCCATTCCTCTCAAAGTCAGCCACAGTTTGTTGTGATTCACAGCCAAATGCCTTTGTATAATCAATGAAACACAGATAGACATCCCTTTGGTATTCCTTGCTTTCAGCCAAAATCCATCTAACATTAGCTACAATATCCTTAGTACCATGACCCTTTCTAAACCCAGACTGCACCTCTGGCAGTTCTCTGTTCATGTGTTGTTCCAGTCATTTTTGGATAATCTTCAGCACAGTCTTGCTTGCATGTGATATTAATGATATTGTTCAATAATTTCCACACTCTGCCGGGTCACCTTTCTTTGGAATGGGAACAAATATAGATCTCTTTCAGTCAGTTGGCCAGGTGTTTGTCCTCCAGATTTCATGGCACAACTTAGTGAGTACATCCAGGGCAGTGTCTGTTTGTTGAAATGTGTCAATTCGTATACCAGCAATTCCTGGGGCCTTGTTTTTTACTAATTCTTTCAAAGCATCTTTAACTTCCTCCTTCACCACCACAGACTCTTGCTTATACGTTGTTTCATGAAATTCTTGCGTGTCTGCCAATTCCTTTTGGTACAATGAGTCTGTATATTCTTCACATCTTCTTTTAATACTTCCTGGATCATTTAATATTCTGCCCAAAGCATCCTTAAGTATTATTTACTTATTACTATTCCCAAAGATGATGAAATGGGATATGGACATTGTAAAAAAAAATCACATAGTTGCTGAAGATTATATATATATATATAATATTATCCAATCTTGCTGAAGATTATTAAAAAATGACTAGAACAATACATTGACGGAGAACTTCCAGAAATATAAGCAGAGGTTATAAGGGCTGTGGCACTAAGGATGTCAATGCTCATGTCAGGTGGATCTTGACTGAAAACAGATAGGACCAAGAAGGAATTTAGTTGTATTTTATCAACTATGCAAAGGTACTGTGTGGATCACAACAAATTGTGGTCAACATTGAGAAGAGTAGGAATCTTAGAACACTTGATTGTGCTCATGTGAAACCTATACCTCAACCAAGAAGCTGTTCCAAACAGAGCAAGGGAATACTGCATGGTTCAAAAAACCAAGAAAGGAGTGTGTCAGGGATGTATCCTTTCTCCACACCTTTTCAATCTATATGCTGAACAGATCAGTCAAGAGGCTGGACTTTATGAAGAAGGATGTGGCATCAGGATTGGAGGAAAACAACTTATGTTAGGCTGATGACACAACCTTGGACATGCAAACTGAAGAGCCCTTTAAGCACTTACTGCAGAAGGCCAACAATGGCAGTTTTCTATATTGAATGCATCTCAACATCAAGAAAACAAAGATTCGATCCAGCTGGCTTCTGTGAACTCTGCAGACCAGCTAGAGGCTAGTGGGTGGGTGGGAAAAAAAAAAAAAAAAAAAAAAAAAAAAAAAAAAAAGAAAACAAAGATTCTCACCACTGGGCCAACAGGAAGTATCATGAGATTAAGGTTGTTAATGATTTTACCTTGCTCGGATCCATAATCAACACTCTTGGCACCAACTTGTCGGGAAATCAAGATGAGGTGTACTGAGACAATGCGCTTCTCCAGAGTGCTGAAGAGCAGTGATGTTAGTGTAGAGATTCAGGTGTGTCTCATCCAGGCCACCAGTTTTCTCAATTGCCTGCTATGCATTTGAGAGCTGGACAAAAGATGCCTTTGAGCTGTGGTGTTGGAGAAGAGTATTGAACATACATATCATGGACTGTTAAGAGAACAAACAGATCTGTCCTGAAAAGGGTGAAACCAAGTTGCTCCTTGGAGGTGAGGATTTTGACTGTCTCACATACTTCGGGCATATTGCCAGGAGGAACCAGTCCTTGGAAGACCTTATACTTAAAAGGCATAAAGAGTAAGGGCATGTAGGGATGGCCATTTCTGACCTATTCCAACTCCACAAAGGGGAATCTCCCCAACCCAACAACACAAAACCAATTTTCATGGGGTCAGACATGTTCCCCATACTAATATACCTCTTCTAATCATCAGCACCAATGTTATTGCCTTGTTCTTGTTATGTGTCATCGAGTCGTCCATGCCTCATAATGACCCCATCCATGCACAATTACTCTGAACCTTGCCTTATCCTGAGGCCAGTCTCACTGACTCTGACACACTTAATCCCAATGCCCCACTTATTGTGTCAATCTATTTCATCTGGGGTCTTCCTCTCTCCTGTGATGTCCCTCCACACTTCCAAACATGATATCCTCCAAGAAGGATCTCCTGGCTATGTGCCCAAAGTATATGAGATGGAGCTTCAAAATCCTTGCCTCCAAGGAGAGACTTGGTTTCACCTTCTGCAAGACAGCCCTATTTGTTCTCCTTGCTTTCTATGGTATGTCATGGTATCTTACTGCTTTATTGGGTCCAAAATTTGTTGTGACAGCACATAGGCCAGAAATGAATACCATTTAGCTACTTCATGAGATGATTTTATGAAATAATTTTACTTGTTCTATATATAGAATGATGAGGTAACACTAAACACATGGTACACGAAAGGATTTTGCCAATTAAGGAAAAAGGAAATGCCTAATATTTGTAATTAAATAAAAAAGCCAAGTCCACAAACATTGCACTGTACGTCCGTTTAAATTTTTTTCTACTCATTGGAACTGGATGTGGGTGTTGCTTATAGTCAACATAGGTCAACTGTTGTTCTAGGCAGTTCTAACCCTGATTCATTCCATCCCCACCCCCAGGAGTGTTCCTTTGTAAGCGTTAAGTATGAAAATTACTCAATTTGTTTTTCTGGGATAGGCTGACAAAGATTAGGCTAGCTAGCTTGGAAAATATTCTAAAACAATGACAAAAAAAGTCACTCAATGCAACATAATAGTCACCACCGTCATAAGGACAACTGTAGTAATAAGGAAAATGCTTATGACTTAAGAAAAACCTGAAAGTTCAAAGCTGTATTTTATTAAGATTATGGCTATGTAAAATATTACACTTAAGAGAATGGTTGAAAGAATGTTTTCTCACACATAGAACTTTAATAAAACTGATAGCCATAAATACCTTCATCATTAGTTCATTTTTAATGAAATGTTCCAGTGAAGCACATATATACAGGTAACATAGTTCATGCTTCAAAAGAAATATGTAACTATGAATGGCTGTTTTAAGTAGAGTTATATCATAAATAACAGTAACATAGCATAAACACATTAACTTGCATTAATACAACTTATGAGGTAAGTGAAAAGGAGCTGGTAAGGGAGGTGATGTTGATGAAATAGCACTTACTGTTGAACGTGTGACAAGTATCATCAATGTGAGACTCCCTCAGTCACTGAGGGTCCACCTCTGTCTCTCACAGGGTAGGCATTCTGTGCACTGAAAGGGACTCTAGTGTTTAAAGGTATATCAGTCCTTCTTAAGCAAAATGGCCCCTGAACAACCAGCAGCAATTTCATTTGATCTTCAAATGAAAAAGAAAAAAAAATATATATATAGTCACTTTTTCAACACTGTTAGAGGAAGAAAACTTGTGTGGTGGGTGTAGAGATTTTCAACAGCAACACTGTGACATTGATGTGCCAAATGCGATAATGTAAATATTGCGAAGGCCCCATTTTATCATACGGATGGATACTAGAAATGAACCCCTGGGTATGATGCAACTCCACTGTCATGTGGTCAGTTTGATTTCCACTTTAGTTCCTTCCTCACACGGAGCAGGGTATTTCTGTGGCACATATCTGGTATAGCGTTTCAGAAAGGACCTTTCACTAGCTGAGAAAATTTCAGAGGGAAAGGATGAGCGTACCATGAAAGTCTAAATTTAAAAAAAAATCCTCTTAGTATGTGTCACGACAAGATTTTCAATTAGCAAGCATGACTACTTGAGCAGAGAGGAATGGTTTACTCCCCAAAAATGTTCTGTAGCCTTTTTGTCAATTTCTAAGTTGGCAGCTTCATTTTTCTTAAACACCTGGCTTTAACCTGACCACCACCCTGGTGCAGTTTCTATTTTTAAAAATACCATTCTAATGGAACCATTCCAGCCCTGAATTAGCCTGGGACTGAGTTTGACCACTAGTTACAGGTGGCTTAGAGGGTCGTGCTGCTAACCCAAAGGCTGCATGTCTCTGATGTTTCCGCTTAAAACGTCATGTGAGAAATGTGGGCAATCCTCCTCCTGTTGTAGTTTCCAAAAATCAACCAAACAAAATAAAAAAACAACCAAAGTCACTATTGAGTCAGAACCAACTCATAGCTGACATTTCAGTCAGTGGGTTTCTGAGGCTGTAAACCACACTGGATGAGACTGTCCATCTTTCTCCCCCAGATCTGACAGTGGGTTCGAACTGTCAGAGATGTGGCCTTTGGGTCAGCAGCGCAACTCCCTCAGGACTGTGCCTTCAAAGCTCCAAGGGGAGGGTCAAGATGAGTGAAGTGATTTGATGGTAGTGAATTTTTGAGCGAGAGCTGTTTATATCATAGTTTTGACTAGTTTGGTAGATACCCACTTCCTTGCTTCAGCTTCTTTTAGTCCAGTAGGATTTCCACATGGGCTGTAGGTGAGGGTAAAGCACCCATGGAGAATTCCTTCAGTAACCATTTGTAAAACTGCTGGCTGCAGGTAAGATACAGACCCCAGGGGGCCAGCAGCCCTGGCTGGTGGGGCTGACTCATCAGGTTCTGTCTCATCAGAAGATCCACAGCTCTCTGCCTTCCACAGAGAATGTCTCATGTTAAGAAAATAAAGATGCAGCTTTGGAAGTTCTTCATTTCCTAAAACAATAGCCTGTTTTCAAAGCTTGTTGTCATTCAGGATCCAGTTTCTAATAGGTTAGAAAGGATTTGTTTTAAGATCCGCAGCGCAATTTACGTTCTAGGCCACCAGGATCCTCTTGACTTATGGAGTTTTTAGTGCTCTGGTGGTGCAGTGCATTGGGACTTGTATTGGTAATTCAAAGGTTAGAATCAGCTACTCGGAGAAAGATGAGCAATCTCCTCCCGTAAGATTCATGGTCTCCAAAAACTTGCCAGAGAGTCAGCCGAGCTGGTTCCAACTCAATGTCAACAAGCCAGAGTTTTTGTGCAAGTCATAGATGGAATTAGCTGTACCTCTTTTCAACAAAATGTTTTCTTCTATTCTTAAACTCTATGTAACATGTATCCATGCTCCATGTCACTTTCCCCAAAGCTTAGGGACAGGCTGTGCACCTCCATGGTCTGTTCCAGTCAGCTAGTGGAGGGCAGGCCCCCAATCTCTTCCTCTCCACCCCAGCTGAGCCTCCCCACATCCCTGCTCTCTGAAGTGGGCAGTGGTGTGTGTGTGTGTGTGTGTGTGTGTGTGTGTGTGTGTGTGTTAACCTGGCCCATGGCAAAACCCAAACCCAGACCTGTACATTGACAACTGACCACCTCACTCTAAAAAAGAATAGAAAAGAAGGCCCTGGATAGAATGGGCAAAAATGTGAAATAAAACTTAAAACAAAACAACCAAAACCCAACCCATAAAAATGTCTCATAAAAACAGAGACTGGTAGGAGAATCCCCCTCTGAATCTGAAACAAAATTCATTCTCTTGCTTCCACCTCCAACTTGCCTCCATACTATATACAGATGGTAAGATCAAGAACACAAGAGATACACACTCCTCGGAAAAATCAGCCTCAAAAGATCAATAGGGCAGCATTTGCCTAGGGATACAGCTCAGATGGAAGGCTATGTTAAGAGAGAAGATGAATGGAACTGGAGAAAGTGTAGAGTGTCGGCATAGTTTGTGCACTGTAATTAACGTTATAAAACAAAAACATGAATGAATAGTTGAATGGAAAAGTTCGCAACCTTCACTAAAATCACAATAACGATAAAAAGGTAATAATGATGATGATGATCATCATCACATGCAAGCAAAATTCTGCTGAAAATTAACCAAAAACGTTTGGAGCAATGTCAGCAGAGAACTGCCAGATGTGCAGGATGGATTTAGAAGTTGTGGTACTAGGGATTTTACAGCTAATGTTAAATGGATGTTGGCAGAAAGCAAAAAATACCAGAAGAATGTCTATCTGTGCTTCATTGACTATGCCAAGGCTTTTGACTGTGTAGATCACAACAAACTATGGCTGACTCTGAGAAGAATAGGAATCCCAGAACAGTTGATTGTGATAATACGAAACCTATACTTGGACCAAGAGGCAGTCGTCAGAACAGAGCAAGGAGACACTACACAGTTCAAACTCAAGAATGGGGTCCTTCAGGGATGTATTTTGTCTCCATACCTTTTCAATCTGTATGCAGAACAGATCATCCGAGACGCTGGGCTGCATGAGGAGGAATGTGGCATCAGGATTGGTGGAAGAATCATCAACAACCTGCATTATGCAGAGGACACAAATCTGCTTGCTGAAACTGAGGAGAACCTGAAGCGCTTGCTGCAGAACGTCAAGGACTGCAGCCTCCCATATGGATTGAAGCTCAACATCAAGAAAACAAAGATTCTCACCACTGGGCCAATTAGCAGCATCAGTATGGATGGTGAAGAGATTGAGATAGTTAAGTTTTAGTTTACTAGGCTCCACAGTCAACACTCTTGGTAACAGCAGCCAGGAAAAAAATCAGACAAATTGCATTGGGAAAGTCAGCTGTGAGGAACCTCTCAAGAGTACTGAAGTGCAAGACGTCAGGCTGGAGACTAAGGTGCGCCTGATCCGGGCTATAGTCTTTGCAATTACATGCTATGCATCAGAGTTGGACAGTGAATAGGCATGATAGAAAGAGAATTGATGCCTTTGAGCTGTGGTGCTGGAGAGGAGTGTTGAATATACCATGGACTGCTAAGAGAACAAACAGGTTTGCCTGGAGAAGGTGAAGGTGAATGCTCCTTGGAGTCAAGGATTCTGAAGCTTAGTATGACATATTTTGGGCATGTTGCAAGGAGGGACTGGTCCTTGGAGAGGGACATCATGTTTGGCAGGATGGAGGGGCGGCAAAGGAGAGGAAGACCTTCAATGAGATGGATCGATTCTGAGACTGGAGTGGTGGGAATAAGTGTGGTTGAGATGGCTAGGTTGGCACAGGATAGAACGGTGTTTAGAGCTCTTGTACATAGGGTCACTATGAGTCGCAAGCGACTTGATGGCACATATCAACAACAACAATAATAATAACAACAACAATAACAGTAGTAGTAGTAATAAAAAGGCACTCAGCTCCTAACTGGAGTCAGTGGTATAAAGCCACTAACTGCTGAGGGAGAGAGATAGGACAACATGCTCTGTCCTATAGGATTACTATGAGTGGGAAGTGGCTTGATTTTAATTATTCTCTTGACCAGAGTACTGTAAAAAGAGAAATTTTTCTTTCTCTAAGTCTTGCTGAGTAGGTAGAACTGAAGTCCTACTAACTGCTAGAAGGGAGGTCAAACACTGGGTGGGAGGTGCCTCACAGAAAGCCCAGCAGACATGATTTCTCTCTTTCAGCTCCAACATGGCTAATGCACTACATGAAATAAACCCATTAATATAGCCTTTGATTCTCTAATTTATGGTTTACATACATACTGCAGCAATAGTTGTCAAAGGCTGAACTATGCCTAGCCCAAACATATGCTGTTGTTGTTATATGCTGTCAAGTTGCCTGAGACTCATAGCGACTCTACGTACAACAGCCCTAAACGCTGCTCTGTCCTGTGCCAATCTCACTGTCTCTGACACATGTACCCTAATTACCCCAGTCACTGAATCAATTCACCTCATAGAAGGTCTTCCCCTCCTGCGCTCTGCCTCCACCCTACCAAGCATGTTGTCCCTCTCTAAGGACTGGCTCCTCCTTGCAACATGTCCAAAGTATGTTAGCTGGAGCCACAGAATCCTTGACTCCACGGAGAAGCCTGGTTTACACATACATACAATGATATAAAATGGAAAGTATGTATGATCCCCATAACCAGCCTGTAAAAACCAAATAGTTGTAAAAGGATTAAGTGTGGAATGTCAACCTTAATTCCATCATAGTAAGGGAAGTTCCCCTAGAATGTAGTCTGTAAAATAGTAAAGGAGAAAAGTGAGTAGGGAAAGAAAATGGCTGCTAGGACTAGAGTATGTTGCTTTGTATCTTGAGGGCATGAGGAAGCTCCTTAACACCTGGGAAGATACAAACCATGGAGAATGACTGGCCCATAGATGCTGAAGGAAACAAAGCCTTTGCTTTAGAAAAGTGAGGGAGAGGGAGAGGAAGAAGGAGGAGGGGTGGGGGAGAGGAGGGGCACGGAGGGGAGAGGAGAGGAGGGGAGAGGAGAGGAGAGGAGAGGAGAGGAGAGGAGAGGAGAAAGCTGCCACTTAAGAGCTGATACCCTGAATTTGGACTCAAAGCCTTTTAAAAAGTAAAAGAATACATTTCTGTTTGCTAAAGCAATTAACTTGTGGTATCTCTGCTAAAGAAACATTAGATAACAGAGATAGTGGTTATTTTCTGTTTTTCAACCTTTGTAACTAAAATTATTTTAATAATTTAAAAGAATCAGTATCTAGAAAATGAAAAACAATACATTCTTCCCATTTTACCCCTTCATGTCCTAGAAAAACATGCATCAATGAAACCAAAGACATCTCAAGTGACCCCTGCTATTACCTTGGTCTAATCACCTAGAGGCGACATGTCAGTAAAATAAGGATGTGCTTAGCTTAGCTTACATTACAATGTGATTACTGTGAGAAACATATGAGAATGCAAAATAGGACTTAGAGCGAGACTAGTCAGGAGTTGTAATTCTGGTTCTGAAACTTATTGTGTGACCTTAGGCATGCTATAGAACTTTTTAGAGCCTTAAGTATAAAGTGGGCAACCTTTACTTGCTAGAGTATATGAAGCAAGATTCTGCTGAAAATTAACCAAAAATTAATGGAGAAGCACATCAGCATAGGACTGCCAGATGTGCAGGCTGGGTTTAGAAGAGGCCGTGGTACTAGTGATATTATAGCTAATGTTAGATGGATCTTGGCTGAAAGCAGATAGTACCAGAGGAATGTCTATCTGTGTTTCATTGACTATGCAAGGGTGTTTGACTGTGGTTGACTTTGAGAAGAATAGGAATTCCACAACATTTGATTGTGCTAATGAGAAGCCTACGCTTGAACCAGGAAGCAGTCATCAAAACAGAGCAATGAGACACTTTATGGTTCAAAATCAGGAACGGTGCATGCCAGGGATGTATTGTCTCCATACCTTTCCAATCGATATGCAGGACAGATCATCTGGAACGCCGGAGGAATGTGGCATCAGGATTAAAGGAAGAATCTTCAACAATCTGCGTTATGCAGATGACACAACCCTGCTTGCTGAAACTGAGGAAGATCTGAAGCACTTGCTGAATAAGGTCAAGGACTGCAGCCTTCAACATGGTTTGAAGTTCAACATCAAGAAAACATAGAGTCTCACCACTTAGCCAATTGGCAGCATCATGATGGATGGTGAAGAGATTGAGATTGTTAACAGTGTTCGTTTATTTGGCTCCACAATCAACACTCTTGGAACCAGAAGCCAGGAAATCAAAAGACGAACTGTATTGGGAAACTCAGCTGTCAGGGATGTCTCCAGAGTATACTGAAGAGCAACGATGTCAGTCTGGAGACTAAGGTGCACTTGATCCAGGCCATAGTCTGCAATTACTTGCTATGCATCAGAAAGCTGGATAATGACTAGGAATGACAGAAAGAGAATTCACGCCTCTGAACTGTGGTGCTGGAGAAAAGTGTTGACTATATGATGGACTGCTAGAAGAA